TTTATTATTCATTTACAAATCATATTTGTGAAAAAATGTTAAATTACGCAAATTAATTTTATTTAAATAATTAATAAATCATTTAAATTATTTTTTAAGACTTAGTAAGTTTAAATAATTAAATTTACTTATTTATTAATAAACTCTTTTCACGTAGACCTTCAGTAAATCTACTATAAAGCATCCCAGCAGCAGAAATAGGTTCAGTTTTGAATACTTTTGTACCGGTAGTCATTTTGACTCTCGCTGGTGTTTAGAGCACAGATCTGTTATGCAACAGGAGGGTTTTCTGTGTGGTATCAGTGAATAACTGGTCTAATCTGCAGGAATCTGACCATTTAAGACTCCTAATGTAATTCAACTGCTCATGTGACTCCACCCCCTGTGTCTTGCCATCTGATTGGCTGTTCAGAGACACGCCCCCACTCTCTCCTGTATCATATAAAGAGTTTGTTTTGATTTCTTCATATTCTGCAGACTTTCTATAACCACAGAGTAATGTGTGTAAGACGAGCCTCAGCAGAGCCAGCGCTGTTTCCACTGATGCTGCTGTCTGGGACAGTTAAACACAGCTCCATATTTAATAATCACATGTTTTCAGTTTTCTGCGGTCTTATAAATTTGGAATTATTCAGAACTTTTTTTCCATTTGGTTGTGCTCAAGGTTATTTTGTTATAATATCCTTGCAAAACAAATACAGATATATAAATACTACAAAATAATGTTTCACAACTCTGAAACTGACCCTTTCAGACTTTGACCCATACACACTCATTCACACAAACACACACTCATACACTACAGCCAATTTAGTTCATCAATTCCCCTATAGCGCATGTGTGTAACCGGAGCACCCGGAGGAAACCTACGCCAACACAGAGAGAACATGCAAACTCCACACAGAAACACCAACTGACCCAGCCGAGGCTTATATCAGCTTATATCTTGCTGTAAGGACAAATTGCTTACCACTGGGCCACCATGCCACCTATTTATTTATTTATTTATTTATTTACTTATTTATTTATTTATTTATTTATTTATTCATTCATTTTATTTGTTTATTTTATTTATTTTTATTTTATTTATTTATTTGTTTATTTTTAATTTAATTTTATTAAATTTGTATTTATTTTTATTTGTTTATTTTATATATTTTTATTTTATTTTATTATATTTTTATTTATTTAAGTAATTTACTTCTTTATTAATTTTATTTATTTATTTCAGGTTTTGATCCTAATTGTGATGACTGTCGCTTTAAATGCAAATAAGATTGTGCTCTTTTTCAGAAGAGGGCGTGGCTACATATGCAAATGCATAAGAAAATGGGAATATTGAAAACAGGACTAGTGTTGTGAGTGCTGGCAAAGTGTGTGTGTGTGCTTCAGTGTGAGTGTGTTCTTCATGCTTCTGTCAGTCTATGTCGCTCCTGTCTCTGTTCATCTAGAACTCCACATCTATAATGCTCTTAGTCTATGCTGACATTATCTTCAGCAGCTCAAACACTCTAATGGCTAATGGACAGACGGCTGCTTCTTACTCAGGGCTACTGTTTATGCTAATGAGATAGAGATGGGCGCTAGTGGGCGGGGCTTTCCCCCTCTGATGACACGCACAAAGGGAGAATGTCAATCAAAGTGCTTCTGCATCAAGTCTGATTATAACAAACACAGTTAATTCATGTTGAGCATCAGAGGTTAGATATACTTGTGCTAACACACAATTTAGCATAACAGGTGCCCTTCAAAGTGTGCAGGTCACTATAGGGCTAATGTTATTCAGCAGTGCAGATATTAAACCCATCTGATGACCTGCTGGTTTATTCCTCCTCAGTAACACACAGTAATGTCTGCTAATATGAGCTGAGGGTGAAGCGTCTGAACGCCCGTCGGGTCTCTGACACCT